CAAATAAAAAAAATTTATCGATTTTGGTCAAGTAAGCATCAAGATATCTTCGATCAAAGATTTTAAAAAAATTTAAAATATCTCTAGTATTACTTAATAATAACTGTGCTAATATTTGTATCAGAACTTTGATCGAAGTTATCTTGATGCTCACTTGACCAAAATTGATAAAAAGTTTTTTATTTTAATTCTATAGATCTGTAGAATTCAAATAAAAAAAATTTATTAATTTTGGTCAAATGAGTGCTGAGATATCTTTAATCAAAGATTTTAGAAAATTTAAAACATCTGTTGTTACCAAATAAATAACTGTGCTAATATTTGTACCAGAACTTTGATTGAATATATCTCAGCAACTACTTGACTAAAATTGATGATTTTTTTTATTTGAATTCTACAGATCTGTTAGTGATTGGCGCCGTAATCGTGTGATGCTAATTGTCACGTGGTAAAATATATAAAAATCAACAATCTAATTGTTAATTTTTATATATTGTATCATGTACAATTAGCATCACATGATTACGACGCCAATCACTAAGATCTGTAGAATTCAAATAAAAATTTTTTTATCGATTTGGTCAAGTGGGTGCCGAGATATCTTCGATTAAAGATTTTAAAAATTTTAAAAAGTTCCTAGTATATATGCATCAATTAATATTATAAAATTTGGTTAGTTGTGTAAATAATTAGCTAACAGTGCTGCGCAGTGGCACATGTCAGCCAATCATTTACATGACTGGACAAATTTTATGATATTTATTAACATATAACTCAATATTAGTATTATTCGGCAATTTATAATCATAATTCTCAAGTCATGATTGGCTAACAAAGTTTAATTTGAATAAACATAATTGCCTTGTAATACATGAAAAAAATAACAAAAAGAAATTTTTTCATGATTATAAAAGTTTGCCAGATAACACTTAATAATAACTGTGTCAATATTTGTACCAGAACTTTGATTGAAGATATCTTGGCACCCACATAACCAAAATTGTAAATTTTTTTATTTGATTCTACAGATTTGTAGAAATCAAATAAAAAAAAATCATTGATTTTGGTCAAGTAGTCACCGATATATCTTCGATCAAAGTACTGGTACAAATATCAGTGCAGTTATTATTAGATAATATACTACATTAAACATAGCTGCCACAACAAATTTGGACTGGCAAATTCTTGATTTTGATAGGTTAAGAGCGATGATAAAAAAATTAGGCCGGAATTACTCATAATTTTACTAATAAAATCATAGCTGCCCATTAATAATAAATTTATTCATATTAGACAGCCGCGTAAATTAATTACGCTAAAATCAAGAACGAGAAAATAATAGAAATTGAATAATTTAACTGAATAAGAATATGAATTAAAAACAATTATATATCTTGGAGAAGTAAATAAATATTTTTTACGCTTATCATGAAAATATTACGATATTGCATATTTAGGTCATTAAATGTAAGGATTGGACCCGTATCCGGGTTAGGTGCGTTTAGTAAAAGTCAAATTTTATATATGCTAGTTAATTATTTAAAAGTTTCATATTATAAAAACCAAAAAATAATACGATACTAATATATTTTTCCATTTATTATAAAACGTATCTATGGTGGTTTTGCACCAATCATATGTTTTTATCTATTTTTCTAAGATTTTATAAGTTTTATATAAAATTTTTAGCACAAATTTTTCATGTTGGGGTTAGTATTTAGTGTTAGAATTAAGTTTAGGAAAGGTTTTAGGGACGAGAGCAACTTTACTTAGAGTATCACATATAATTAATTGGCCAATTTTTAAGATAATGTAATATAGGTGGTAAGCACTATAGGTGCGTTTTAGTTAGTGTTTTTTTTTGTTAAATTTAATTTAAATATATAATAAAATAAGTAATGAATTTTATATAATATGTTAATATCGTAATACTTATCAATAAACTCACGGGTTTACTTATTGAAGACAATTCCTATTTAAAAGTTATAAAATATTACTTATAGCGTAAATTATTTTTAAATAATTTTCTAAATTTTACCTTCAACAGCACTTGATATTTTTTGTGTGTCAATAATTTTGCTAGTGTACATGTGATCTGAATGTTTTTGAGAAATTATTGGCAACGTTTTAATGATTTCATCGGCATTTAAAAACTGTTCTTTAATTTCACTTTCATCATCAAAAGCTAACATTTTAAGCCAATCATCAATTTTAGAATAAATATTCCAAGCACTAAACCGTTCTTGTGGATCTGAATTCATGCATTGATTTGCCAATTTTACATAACAATCGGGAGTTCCAGGAGCAAACTCTGGTCGTAATCCATTGCAAATCTTGACTGCAAGCTTTGTATCGAATTCGTAACCATCAAAAGGGTTTTGACCATTTGTCATTTCGGCCATAATAACACCATATCCATATATATCCGCCGCTTGTGTAAACTGTTGCTTTCATGATAAAACTTCCGGAGCAACATAAGGCACGACACCGCAAACATAACTTTCTGCATTATTTTCACCTTTTTTTTTAGATAGTCCTAGATCTGAGATATGAGAAGTGCCTTCATAGTGAAGAATGTTACCACTATGAAAGTTAGCATGAATATAACCTGCATCATGAATTCGGTATAAATCAAGCGATATATTTTTGAGTTGATCCAGTTTGAATTTCCATGTAAATTTATTAAGATTTGCTCGTAAAAACTTATAGATATTTCCAGGATCAGCATACTTAAATACCAATAAGTATTCATTAGCTTTTGAGTTATAAGTTAAACCATATATTTGAATTCCATTACAATATAAACTTGACAAATGATTATTAAACTTAGAGATTATATAAAAGCATTAGTTCAATAGGATGTCACGGATATTACATAAGTTTATAGAATATAAATTTAACCTACCTCTCTTGAAATATCAAATGAATCTGAATTTGGTTTTGCCTTTGAACCAGATAAAGTCTTGAGTGCAACGATGCTATTTGATTCACGTGATCTTTTGTATACATAGCCATTACTTTTAACTTTTTTAATTTTTTTAATTTTTCGTATGCCATCCAACCAGACTGCTCTATATGTAGATCCAAATCCTCCTTTGCCAATTTCTTCAATGTCAGATAATCTATTAAATGGAATCCACTCAATCTCTTCCTCATACGTAATGCTTCTAAGTTGACACGCTCTCATGCGATCATCAATATCCTTATTTTTACTCGTCCATTGTGTTTCTATGCTAGGGTCACATGAATGACACCATGCTTCGCTCGTGTTGTCTTCATTACAATGTGCGCATTTTCCATATTCGGATTTTCTTTGTAACATAAAATATCACATGTTATTTATACTTTTTAAACTTTATATTGAGTGTAAATAATTTTTATACACACCGACTAAATTAACACGGAAGAAACAAATTGAAAATAAGTATTTATGTTCTTGATTTGAACGTTTAATTCAAATGATTAGTGTACTCACTGCCTGAATGAAATGATTAAAGCGCATGAGATGGTTTGAAGGTTATTGCGTAATAGTAAATAGGTACGTAATTATGATCTTGATTTGTGAACATGTTTAACTGATTTTGATTCAATGATTTTTATATTCACAGACTAAATTAATGCGAATTAAGTTATTTGAAGTGTATTAAGTAATGGTAAATAAGTATTATGATCTTGATTAGTGAACTTGTTTTACTGTTATTAATAATATGTTCTTTATGCTTACTGGCTAAATTAATATGAATAGAATTATTTGAAGGATATTATGTAATGGTAAATACTGTAAATATTTATGTTTTGATTTGTGGACTTTGTTTTGCCGGTTTTAATTTCAATGATCTTTATACTTACAGACTAAATTAGCGCGAATTAATGATTTAAAAAAGTATCGTATAATTAAAATAAATATTTATGATCCTAATTTGTGAACTTATTTTGCTAATTTTAATTTCAATTATCATAAATAGTCTTTATACTCACAGACTGAGTCAATACAAATGAATGGATTGAAAGTATTATATAATGGTAAATAAGTATTTATGTTTGATTGTAAATTGTTTTTATAGTTTATTCCAATGGTTAATAAATGATCTTTATACCTACCCACTATATTAATGCGAAGATGAAGTGAATTGAAATGTATTGTGTAATGGCAAATAAGTATTTATGATCTTGATTAAACTTATTCTGCTATTCCAATAATTAATAAATGATCTTTATACTCACCCACTAAATTAATACGGTAAAATGATTCGAAAGGTGCAGTATGTAAAGAAATAAGTATTCATATTCCTGATTTGTGAACTTATTTGCTAATTATTATCTTTATACTCACAGGCTGAATGATATGAATGAAATGATTTGAAGGGTATTGCGCAATAGGAAGTATATATTTACTGTGGTTAATTGATCTGTAATTTGTTTACAATAATCATTATACTCACCGACTAATTAACACATGAAATAATTCGAGAGGTATTTGTAATAGTAAATAAGTATTTATGTTCTTGATTTTGAATTTATTTCGATGATTTTAATTCCGATAGTTGATAAGGGCTGTGACATTTATTACGTAATATTTTAGGGGGTGGGGGTTGAGCATGTATTATATCAATGTCTTACGTTACACAAAGAAATTATATGATTTCTAAATTGGCCAATTATATAGATCTTATGTGAGGGGAGGGGGGGTAGCCCTTATAGTAAATGGATATTACATAATAAATGTCAGAGCCCTAAGGCCATTCAAAATTGATTCTTTTTAATATAACATTAAATAGCTAATAAAGGTGAGAGAGAGCATAAAGAATACACAAATTAAAAAAAAACAGCAATTTTATTATTATAAAAAATATTTTATAAATTTTTGAAAAATGGATTATATTAAACAAAAAATTAAATTGGTCTGGCCTAAGTGATCTTTACGAGTGAAATAGTGATGGCACAAAAATTTGGCAGTACTGTGACCTCCGAGCCGATCGATACTTCGATCAGGCCGGGTTCTACAAAAATTGAACCAATACGTGATCTACAAATTTTTTACTGCAACCAGAAGGCAAGTCTTGACCCAATGGGGAGGATACCAAGTTTTTTGTTGCCTTCTAGCTCTTAAAGCTTCCTAACAGGCTATCGTTTCGGTAACCAAAGTTTGTTTTAGTTTTTTATATACCTCATAAAAATGATCATTTTGGATATTATCCGAAACAATGGTTATTAAAGATTTAAACATCTTTTTATCCTCTTCTAGTTCAGCTTTTCTAGAGTCAATTAATTTATTTCGACTACAAACAGTTAATATTACTTCACTTGTAATTTCAGTTTTATTAGAGAAACTTTCAGTATCTCCATCATTTCAGGGATTACTTGTCGGTTCAATATTTGGAAGGTCTTCTTTACCAAGGTATATAAATAGGTAGTTATGTCTTCGTTTTGTGGTTTTAAATTGAGGAAACGAATTCGGATATATAGTGATATAATTTTTAACCAGATGTTTACACAACATGTAGTTACTTTCAAGAAATGTAGGACACGAACATATCCATTTATCAGTGTTGGTAAAGTATTCTCTTATGCTAATTTCTTTTTCTGAAGCAACTTTCCAATCACTTTTAAATCATCCCCACCATCGTGGAAATAAGCAATTATTATTAAATTTGTTCCAGTTATAAATTTTATCTGGAATTAATTCTTGGGTTATAACTTGAGTTAGGTGATCTAGGTGAGGTCGATTAGTGCTGTATTTATAATCATATTTGAAAGCACACCAATGTGATTCAACTAGCATGGTGGTTCTTGCTAGTGGTAATGCCTTAGAATAAGAAGCTCGAGCAAAGAGGTTCTAATAATTCTTTTTGTACCAGTTGACCCATAAGTATCCCCACAAGCGAACAAGGTTCTTTTTATAACAATATTCATATGCTTCTCAAACGCTTTGATAGTAGATTTCAACTGAAGTAAGGTATGTCTCTTTGTTAATTGGAATAAGAGAATGTAATGATGCATGTTTCTTAATCATTCTTAAAATATCTTCTATACTTTCTTCAGGACATATAGTTCCTTCTTGTTCATTAGGTAGCCAGAATTTGTCAATAAACTTGAATTGTCTTTTGGCATCGTTAGCCACATGCAACGTATATTGGCTAGCTTTATACTTTTTTTCTTTTAGTTTTCTAGTAATAGCACATTTAGCATGCCACAAACAAATTTGAATTTTTGGTATTTGAGACCAAGCTCTTTCAATAGCTGCTAATTCACCCATATCCTTATCCGTAAGATAAAGCTAGGCCGAATCCTAAATACAAGCTGATCAAGAATATTAAATTTTTAAAAATTAAGTGATTGATATTATTTCAAATCAAATTTTTTATTTGCTATTATATATAAATATTAATATTTACCCTTCAGTTTTTAGTAGAGTAAAAAATTCTATTAAAACCAATACTCATGAATGGATTTTATTTCTTGGATCTTGCAATAATTCTGCTGGTGCCACAAAGGTATGAAGATATAAATACGCAAGTGGAACTCCAAATCCACCACAGTTATTTAATATAGCAAAAAGCTCAAATTTTTCCTTATTAGTTTTATATGTCGAATCTAAAATAATTTTCCTAATCTTATTCTTAGGTATAAAGTGAAAGAAAGACGTAGTAAATCCAAGAGATCTAACGAAGTCATTTTCTATACATAATATTACTTTATATCCTTGATCGACGAGTTCACTTTGGTTTGAAAAATTGCTAGCTAAAAGAAGCTGATTAGAGATATTCGTAATGTACTGTTGAGTAGAAAATTTCATAATCCAATAGTATACTTGTTGATAAGTGTGTACATTTGGATTAATAAGCTTTTCTTCACAAAGCCTTTTATAGTCTTCTATTTTTCGAATATTTCTACTTATATTATGAGATATCCAGGCTATAGCATTTTGGGGCATATTATTTTCACAGTAGGTAGGATATGCGTGGGCTACTAAATGTTTAAGAGATATCTTTACATAGCATTTATTAATATTAATATTTATTTTAATGTTCCCACTACATTGGTACCGATCAATTGGAAGTCTTGCTTCGCTTATTCTTTTTACTTGTTGACTTTCTGGACGTGTACGTTTACGCTCTTCCCTTTGAGCATAGCCAAGGTATACAGTCGCTTCTCCAGTTAATTGGTTATTTTTTTTATGGGAATAGATTTTTCTTATTTCCCAATAGACATGAGAAGTGATTCTGCTATGTTACGGTAAATAATTTCTTTGTCACTTTCTTGATTTTCACTTTCTTGACTTTCACTCGACGTATTGTTAATAAAATCATCATCAACTTTTAAAGTTCCAGAGAAGCGTACGTGGCCATTTTCTTCAGAGTTTTCAAAGCAATTTGCTACTAGATTTTCCATATCTGTTAAACTAAACCAAACTCTTTC